AACACAGCCCCCGTCACCAGAGGGAACTGCCGATAAAGCGACCAGGCTGATGGCTGTTTTGCCAACACGGAATCTTTGCTTAGGGGGAAATGAAAGCACCAGCGCATCTGCTACCAGATCAATGCCTTTTCTGGGGTAAATTAAAACCCAATAAATAAATGCAAAAGAAGGGGAAGAAAAAAACCCTAGCCCTTTATTTGCCCACACTTTATAGGTTTGCTGGGCTCAGAAAAAGCTCTGGAACAACAGAAGGCTTTTCTGGTACAGTTTCAAAGGCACAGAATGAACACTTGTGTTCCCTGGACATCTCTCACATGAAAGGGTAGCACTAAGCAAGGGAGAGGAGCCCCACAGGCATGAGCTGTCCATGTCAGTGATTAGCTGAGCTGATTTGTGTCCTGTGGCCAGTGTTCATCTTCCTCTCACCATCTGGAGGATCAATTGACCAGTGAAATGGAAACATATCCCACTTATCTAAAAAGATAACTGCCAGAGAGGTGGGGTTACACTCATTCATTTCTCAGACAGCTTTTGCAACTGATGGAGATTCCTGACCTACAGGCTTGCAGCTTCCTCAGGAGAAGTTCATGCATTTGTTCCTGCACTGACTGCATCTTGCTGTGCAATCATTTTTCCTTGCTTCAGAATTTTCTGTAAGTCTCTAGGTGAAAGATCACAGGATCATTCAGGGACCTCAGAAATCATCCAGCCCATAATTCTGCTCAAAGCAGGGTCACCTACAAGGTCACATCAGTTAGCATAGGGTGTTACCTAGTCTGGTCCTCAAAACTGCCTAGGATGGAGGCTGCACAATCTCCCCAGGCAACCCGTTCCAAGGGGTGAATGTCCCCATGGTGCAGAGATGCCTTCTCATTTTCTGGTCTCCCAAATTATCATGTACCAGAAAGACCCAAACCTGTTCTGACTAAGGGGTAGTTGGGATAGGAGGAAAAGTGTTAGGCTTCTAGGTAGCTTGATTACAAAGATTCCTAATGGCATAAAGATTCAAGTCAGCGATGGAGGAAGCAGACCAGTGGGCATGTACGGAGTGCACCAGACACACAGATACAAGAAACTGTTAGCTTTTACTATTAGAAAATTAGAACATATCAACACTAGTTTCCTTTTTTCCACGAAAACTTATATGAACTGTCAGAAAATGGACTTCTGTAAGTCCAGTGCACACAAGTGACTGATGGACAGAAACCCTGAGGTGACTGATGTAGGCTAGACCCCTGGTTAAACACAGTAACACAAGTGGATAGCATCTGCTGCAATACAGCACAAGGCCTGCTGGTATTTTGCTGAATGTGCATGAACAACTGCAAGAGCACTTCAATCTGAGTAACGAAGCTATTGATGGAATTGTCCTAAGAACACATGAAAAAGAAAGAAACGGTGGAGACTTAGGGGCACAGCAAAAGAGCCTACAGAAAATAGAGGTAGTGAGAGCAAGAAGGTTCAAGAAACAGTCATGCCAGCCTACAAGATGAAAATCGAGAGGCATCTGTATTTTTCACATGCATGACAATCAAGTTTCCACCCCTCCGAAAAGGCACTGCATCCCTGATGGTGAGCAGAAAGGCATACACAGTTGGGAAGTCTTTCCCTGGCTTGGGCCTACCTTCTGTTCAGTCTCCAGGAAGCGTCTCAGGTCATCTGTGTCTAGGTAGTCCTTGTGGTTACTGTAGGTGAGCATTAGCAGGTACAAATCACGTCGTGTTGACATCATCTTATAGAAGGCGCAGAACTCGTCAAAGCCCAGCGTGCCCTGGTTGTCATCCGTATCGGCCTCCTGCATTACACAGCAATGAGATGCCCAATTGCCCAGCAACAGTCTGAACAAACTTTAAACACACTCATACACAAGAAAAAAGCAAGACTGAAATTAAGCGCAGGTCGGTGCTGCCTGGCACAGCTACTCACTCTGTGGCCTGCTGGAACAGGGGGATTTACCAGGCTGATGCTCGTCGCATGCATGCCTTGTACAGCTTTCCCCTGCCCCTCTCAAATGTACGCACTAGTGCACGAGCCAAACAACAACTTCCGAGGTCTGTAGTGTTCCACAGGGAACGCTGCCTGAAGGGCTTCTGTGGCAATGAAGTAAGACAGCGTACCCTGCAGCACAGAGCAGGACACGCATTGCTCTGGAGAATTACCCATTCATGTTTCCTCGAGAAGATCATCAGAACCCAAGATGACTTCAATGAGGGGCGACAAACCCTCAATTGCATCATTTATCATCTGCAGAACTAAAAGACAAACTGACATATTTCATCCCCAAACAAAAGCGAAGGCAAAGGAGAAGGTATTTGCAGGTTCCTGTTGACTAGCACTTCGTTCCATTTAAACAGTTCTTTCTCTATTTGGAAGCATCTCTGGTGCTATAATGCAACAGAGTGCAACACCGTGGACAAATCTACTGCAAAATTCATTCTGGTCCACATCAATTTTACACAACAGAAACAGAGATTGATCATCAAAACGAGGGCTGGCATAGTAAGAGCAGCCTGAGAGAAATGAGCACCCTCCTTCCCAGGGTGTGTGTGCTATAAACCTTCTACTGCCCTTTCACTCCGTAACACACAGAGAAAACGCTCAAGTATTTTACCTCTACTCTAAACTGTTTAAAATTCCCCCAGCCACAAACGTTTTGGTAAGATTTTCTGCTCCTACAGAACAACCCATCCAAATGATGGGTCCAATATTAGCCTGACGCATACGCTAGGATACCCTGCATCAGCTGATGACTGGAAACTTTCCAAGAGCCTTTCCTTCCCTCCCCACACCCGGGGTTGCTGTGGTTTGCGGTTATCCTGTTTTCCATGCTCCATTTGAGCAGATTTTACCACTGCGGACCCACAAAGGGATTTACATTGCACATAAGATGCAACCAGGCAGGCTTCAGCATCAGCTGTCAGCAGGATGAAAGAAAGAGCAGGAAGGGATGCAAGTTAAAAATATTTTCAACCCAGAGGCAGTAGAATAAATACATACAGCCAGGCAAGAGAGAAAGTTTCAAGTCCCATTTTTCCCCCAAACTAGTCAGAAGATTTCCAAGTTACACTCCTTTTCCAAATTATTCTCTCACACTGTTCTGCTACAGTTAAAAGGCCATAAAGTGGGTCTATAAAGACTGTTCACAGCAAAATGTTGTGGTTACATTGGTTCCTAACCACAGAAAGAGAACATTTTGCCTCCCTTTCTTACCTCAGGAGTAAGTTACAATCCAAGAATGACAGCTTAGTGTCCAAACCGATTACAAAATCACCCATCCAATTGTAATCATCCAATTGTTGTTCAGTTTCATGACTTATTAAAAGTCATGCTGGCGGCCACTATTCTTAACTTTCCCTTGGTCCCACACAAAGCGACCCATACTGTGCAGGCCAACATGGGTCCATGAGGTCTGCACGTAGGACTCGCTGAGCTACACCGCATTACAGCTGTTTATTCACAAACAAGAGCCAATATATTAAAATTTATTTGCACAAGCTTTATAAACTGCAGCACACAGCCTCAGTTGGCTGTTTAATTCTTTATGATTCTTTAGGAATGGAACGATTGTGTAAGTAGTGGCTGCCATCAGCAAAAGCGCTTTTCATTCCAGGTTCTTACCAGCATCTAAACCCTGAAGCTTAGGGTTTACACTTCTTACCATCCCTCTCTGTATGATCAGTTTCACATGCAGGTGGGTAAATCCTCTAGGGAATACGACATCCAGAAGAATGGCACAGAGCCCTGCTCACTGACAAACAAAGCCTAATTTTTACATCTTAGCAGAGATCACACCAAGATGAGAGCAATCGTTCACCAGCATGAACCAGTAAAACGATTCCAAAGAGGCTGATCGGATTTCAGGTTTCTATTTCATAGGACTGAAGGTTTCTAATGTTCTTGTTCCAGCACATGGAAAGGAAGATTAAAAATAAAAAAGGAATTTTTGCACTTTGGCAATACCAAAAGGACCACTGGTTTCAAAGTCACCTTCTAGCCACATAGCAACAGGAAAAAATATGTGTCCAGGCAGTTTCATTCCGTAAGTACTTTATCAAATCAGGAAAACTCACTCAAAACAAGAAGAAAAGCTTTGGAAAATGAAGACATGAGCTTTAAGAAATCTTTAATCAGCCTTAAATTGATTGCAAACTGCTCAGGAGTGGTACAAACTCAGTAAATGCTTAGAATAAAAACCAGCTCAGCCTTCAAGCCCCGACAGAGAACAGAGTCACCTTTGCCTTGCCACAGATCTGTCTGTGGCCCCAGGTAAGTCACCTACTCCTGCTTCAGTTTTGTGAAAGTGGGCTTGTAGCATTTCTCTACCTTAATTGAGGCAAAACTTACGTATGCAGCTACACACGCTGCTCTGGACTGCCTAGAAAGCCGTTGGTGGACAGGTATTCGATCCCTTTCAGTGCTACTGAAATTCCAGTATTCCTTTTTCTCTAAAACAACCTCTCACGGCCTCTCCAAGAGAACATTCTTTAAAATACCGGAGCAGCCGAGACGTCCCTGAGTCGGCATAGTGCAGAAGCCGCCGTAGTTCACTACGCTGAAAACCAGTGGTTCAGCATCTGCTGAGGCCCTCCACACGACAGACCTTCTGAAGATGAAAGCATACACACCTCCACAGCCCGGCTGCTCAGTACATGGTGTCAAGGGGAGAGGGACACAGCGTCAGACAAACAGCTCGGGGCAGACACGGGAGTTTGCTTACTGGCTATTTTATTAGTACTCGTTAGGGCAGGATATTGGATACTTTACTAGGTAATACTTATTAGGGAGAATGTAATCAGAGGAGAAAATGGGACCGAGGTTCAGATCAGCACATATAGCAAAAAGGCAATCTCTGCACTGCCTGTCTGTGTGTTATGTAACACCAGAAGGTACCTGGTGTAATGCCTTTTCCTATGAATAACAATTTCTCTATGACGTGATCTGGACCTCTCTTCAATTTACCAAATGGACTGTGTAGCATCTCTCAGCAGAGTGGAAACAAACCAGCTGCCCTGGCATTTACTATCTCTCCTATTAGGTTTCATGTTAATTCTCCAGCAGCTCAATCCTTGTTCTTTCAGAAATAAATACATTTTAATCTCTTACCTTAAACATTTGCTTGACTTTTTGCCGGGGTAGGTTGACATTCAGTTTGTGCATTAGCTGGAGCACTTCACTAATACTCAGACTGCCATCGCCGTTTTTATCTGCCTCATCAAATGTCTGCTTCAACCACATTGAACAGGAGTTAAGGAACAGCATGCAATATCAAAGGGATGTTACTGAACATGATGCATATACGATTGTTTTACTGTCAGGGAAGACTGTATATGAGGCTGGGGATGAAAGAACCTTCACGGTAATCTACATCTACTCACAGTATCTCAGTGCAGTTTCTAGACTGGTTATGCTCAACACACAACACGTGCTATTTACCCGCCAGCAGCAGGGAAGAACTAACTTCTGAGCGACCTGCAACACTGCATCACACTTCGTCCAGTACAACCAAATGGAATGGGCAGCTTTACACAGGGAGTAACAGATCAAAGCATATACCTGTGTGGTTTTCAGTCCACTCCAGTCATTCACCTCCAAGTCGTGCCTAGAAGAATCCTCTGCAAGGACTCCTCTCTGGAAACGGAGGATGCAACGGGAACCGCTTCGAAGCTCTGAGCCTAGCGCTTACTTTTAGCAAATCAAACGTTTAAAAGAATCCCTGTGCTACTGAGAGCCCTCTGGCACTGGGAAATACTCTCAGCTAACGTAAGAAGGATATTGGTCTCTGGTCCTTTGGCGTTTTGAGAGGCTGTCTTCGTCACTGATCCCTGCCATCAGGTATTTTAGCCCTGTGATCCAGGTGCGCGCTTCGTCTCCACTGGAAGATACCAGGTCAAGAGATTCCATGTGGTCTCCATAGTAGATGCTGAAGCAGCAGTTGGGATCAAAACTGCCATCGGCATAGCGCTGGAAGATCTCCGATTGCTTCCCCTCGCAAACCTCCTGAATAGAGTCGATAGAAACTACAAGGACAAAAGCATGGAGTTTGTTAATGACTGGGTGCATGCCCTAGGCCAGACAGGATGCATTTATCCTGTCTGGGGCCCCAACCCTCACACTGCAAGGCCCCCGATTCACACAGGTTTCATCTGCAACTCATTTACTACACAACTGCAACCTGCACTGCTAACAAGAGTAACTTAATCTTCATAAACTGTAACCATAAAATCATTTACTGCCCTTTAAACACAAGTACAACATTCTTCCTGATCACCTGTGAATGAACCAAATCCTTCACACTCGTTTGGTTATAAGAGGGCAAGACCCTAGGAGGAATCAGAAGGAAGGGTCTGTGGTTGACACTCACTCTTGGCTTTCTCATTCTTTCGGGAGGGTCTCCAGCGAATACATGACTTGTGCTCATCCAAGTAATAGAAGCGGACCAACCCTTTGGAACTGCCACGGAGTTTGATCATTTGGGTACCAGCTTGCATGGAAGTCATACATCTTTCCACTGAGGAGAGAAATAAAGTGATATGAGTCAGACTTTACTCCCTTTAAAATCGCTTTTGCAGGAAGAAACAGCTGAAGCTGAAAGAACAACACTGAGAAGAAACTAGTTGCACTGATCAATGTTCTGTGTAAGGCACTGGGCATATGGCATGTAAGTAGGAATAAAAACTATCAGTATGCTTTTCTGTCCTATAACATACACTGGGAGTAAATCTGCAAAAAGGAAAGTGGGTTTGTAAAGAAAGTTTTCATCTTTCACAAGAGAAAGAGCCTGAGGCAAAGCTAAGCTGAATTTATCAGCAACAATATTTTGAAGCTACTTGAGTAAAAATATGACCTTTTCAGAGCGACAGAACGACACTAGGACTTCTGCAAACCATGAGAAAGCCTTATAGCCCAAACCTTTACTTCTCTCCAGCAGCCAGAATGCCCGTTCTCATTACAAGTAGAGCCATCACAGAGGCACTGCACCTCTGCCGTTTACATCACACTTTCACTTGCCACCCAGGCCAAAAGAAATAGCAAATTCTGGAAACAGTAATACCAGAGAGTTGAATATCAGCTTTTCCTCCCATTGCTTCTATGGGTTAAGTCACTGATCATACACATTTGCTTCTAGATGTTGTAGCAAGAACCTAACTGATTTTTCTTCTTCCCAATCACTTAAAAGCACATTCTCTGAGACCTTTCACCTATATCGTATTTGGTCTCTGGGTCCTTAAAACACGTTCCCAGCCCAGGGATTTGGCAGCATTACAGAGAGTGCAGCCAGTGTCCTTCAAAGAAACAAGCCTCCGAAGCAGCTCCCTCAGAGCTCTGCTCTGTCCCAGCAGGGCTCTTCCCCTTTCCCTGGGAACTGCTGGTAGAGCGAGGCTCTTGCCCCGCAAACCCCTGGAGCCAGGCTGGGGCCATGCCTACGCCTGCCCGAGCAGGAGACGTTCTTTTGAAATTCAGCTGTGGCACAGAACAGAGCTTGACAACATTAACGTGAACTGTTGGCCATGGGCTGTGTCCCAGTAATGAAGGCAGACTCCCATATTTTATGCCAGGTCTCCCATTCATTTCCCATCATCGCAGAGCGCAGCCTATGGCTTCATTTTCCTATGGCTTTTCTGCCTGGTTTAAGTAAAAAACTATTACAACGCCCAATGTATTTGTATTTTCAGACCTAGAGATGAGAAGTGTAAATTGGAGTCTGGAGGGAAGAATGGAAGCTGATCCATGCAGTACGTATTCTAGTGAAGAAATACAAGGAAGTTCTGAGGTCAGGCTCCTCTGTCATCAGTTGGTACACACAGATTACAGATGAAACAGTGTCCAAACAAAAAGACTAATTCCATGCATTCCAAAATGCATCAAACCCCACACAATTCTTTGAGGTGATTCAAGCCTACCTCTCGGCAAAAGCAAGGACAGTCAAGAGCCGCAGGGTAGAGTAAAAAGAAATGGGAAAAATCATTGATGTCCCTGTGCTTTAAAGCTCATATTTTTTTGTCAAAATAACTAATAAAAAGATTTCTATTAGCACTAATCACACAGGCTTCAAACCACGGTCAAATTACATTTCCAACTTCCCCTTTGGAAGTTACTGCAGTAAATAATACTATCTGAAGACATGAGAACATCAGAAATGAGAGAAGAATCAGAGACTGCGTCTGTTACAAAGCAGTAAAGCACCAGAACAGAAGAACACTTCATGCAACACACGTTTCCTTTGCTTTTAGGTGAAGTTAGGATATACCCCTTGGCTGTTACCATTTTAATAAGCGTGCCTGGGGAGCTTTTTTTGCAGGACTGCTCACCCAAACCAGCCCAGAGCATGCAGCACCTCCGCAGCCGTCCTGCTGCCAGTTCCAGCTCATCTGGCCACTGGACTGCTCAGGGGTGATTCAAAGCCCAATCGCAACCGTTCCCAAACACGAACCGGCGTTCAGCTCTGCTCACTGAACCTGGCAGCTGGATGGTCAGACCACACCAAATGATTGTTTTAAGTAGCTGTTATTATCGCTTTGGGTTTGGTGAGACAAGAGAAGGAAAGCACAAGAAATGTCTCCCTTCTTGTGTCAGGAGGAGCAGCAGCTTTTCTGGATCCTACCAACGTGACGGGAAGGAAACCCCTTAGGGTGATGCAGAGGAGTTGGCTGGGGTAGCTAGACCAAGACCAGGAGCCTAAGGTGGAGAGGAGAAACGGTGCCCCTCCACATCTCCCTGTGCGCTGAGACATCCACCCTTACCTGTCTGCGTGGCTGAAAGTTCAGAGCAATGAGAGACTGGCAGAAAAATCTGCAGGGAAGAAAATCATACTGGTACTTGTATCAAATAAAAAATGAAACCTTTTTTCTTTGTCTTTCACAGCATGTAAATGAGGACAGCACACTGATGGGAAGACAAGTCTAATTGCTTCTCCTCACCGTTGTTCAGATACCTTCTTTATGGGTTGGTTTCTGTACTTCAAATAAAAACCCCTCAGTCTTGCAATGAATACATGTTTTTTGAAGAAACGGCTCCTACCTATCTTCAGTTAAGGCTGATGTTTTCTTCTTGGTTAAACAATATTTTGCACTTCAATAGCATCTTTTTGCAGAACTCAGTTGAGGTTCAGCTCTCTTTTCATTTAATGAGTTGCCTGAGTTTGCACCTGGACAAAACACAGTCATGGGGAAGATGGATCTCTGCTCTGCGGCAAAAAGCAGTGTCATAGCAGAGCAGGAGACGGGAACACTTCGTTCCATTCTGGTGTTCTTACAGAGTGACACTGGCCTGACACAGCGAAAAGACTCCAACTGATTTTTCACAGTTCATAGTAATATTTTACTATAAAAAAATTTAAAGTAACAATAAATATCAAAATTACACAAATCACAAGTCCCTGCAATTTGTCCTGATACAAGGAATAAAGCGCCCAGTTTCATGTTTATTGTTAAAGATGTTCTAATGTCTGTGAACTAATTATTTCTGGTTCAGTAGCATTATTGTCTTTTAGGAGTTTCTGGGTTTGATGTAAATGTGTGAAGGAGTGGGAGTATTTTAGCATGTGAGGATGAAAAGAAGTCAGAAGGATTGAGTCACTCAGTATTTTTGTACACGGACCAGCCCTGCCGACAGTTTAGTACAGCTCCAGGTTGTGTCGTCCAGCTTTGGCCCTGGCCAGGCTCTTCTGCCACAAGTCCAGCATGGCACAACTCTGCCGAGCTCTGCCCTGGTAACCGATGTCGGCAAGGGGCATCCTGAGCGTGTGCCTACAACAACCGCTCCTCTAAATACTATAAGGAAGGGAAATAGATTTCAGAGGCTGATTTCTCCTCCGGGCCTTCGGCAGATGCAAGGTGTCTGTGAACCTAGAGGAACCCCTCCAGCACTTGTGCACCACAAGAGCAAGCTGTTCCCTTAAAATCTGACCAAACCCAAGCAGCTTTCCCACAGGCAAGCAGAGGGCTCCCACCCTTGTCATACATTCAGCACCACAAATCCTTTGAAGAGATAATAATTGCTACAGTTTTTAAGCATCTCACTGGAAATGGCTTTTCAGCTGTGACCGACAGATTCATCAACACGTAAACCATAGAAGTGTCTGGCTCTAACCATTCCAGCCAGGAATATCAGTTTCAGGTTAGGCAGGACGCATCAAATATCTTAAAAAATCAATATCTAAATATAATAATAGAAAAGTGTAAAGCATGTAATGTATGTACTATCTATATACATACTCCATCACTAAATCTCAGGACTCTGCACTATTCTTTTCGTCGGCAAACAAAATCTTCAAGCATCTTTGCAAAGGAGAAGTTCGGTATAATTCTGCCAGCAGTGTTTGCTGCACACCACAGAGAAGGCAAGGCTGAACCCACCCTTAAAGCACACAACCCCTAAGAAACGAGACGTTAATGGGAGAAGAGATGCTCCTAATCCTGTGGAAATTAGGGTGCTTAATTCAAGGTCAGTCTGTCAGCTCTCTGGCAGCCATCTGGATCCAAGGAAACGCAGGAGAGGAGCAGGATGGCTTTTCTGGACTGCTGTAGAAACTCCCATTAGTTCCTAAGCTATCTATTCCACCAATTGCCATGTTAAAAATGTCTTTGATTAGTGAAGCTGACAGACAAGGACAAAAAAGTGCTTCCAAGGCAACAGGGGGTTCTGACCGAGGGCGCTTAAGATTTGCTAGCTGGCCATGAGCGGCCAAGGAAGGCTGCTATCAAACCGCGTGTACTAGCACAGGCAACGCCTCACTTCTCTAGCCATTTCCAGCTAGGTTTGCTCTTTGATTGCCTATTTAAAGAAAGGCTGCTAGGAAGCAAAAAGGGATCCTCTCGGACAGTTAGAGAAGAGTAAGGATTTTACCACTGTATAAACAACCTCTCAAGAGCCCAGTGACCGACTATGGAAGAGGACAACAGAGCTACTTCTAACGCTCATTTCAGAGACTGAAAACTACTACATATTGCACCAAAAATCAAGGACTAAAGAGGTGTACAGATCCTGTCAGACAGCAGGAGAGGGAGGCAGAGTCGATCTATGCAACAGAACATTTCAGAAGGTGCACACATGTCAAAATGTACAACTTTGCATTTGCTTTTCCAAAGAATATAAAGAAATCAATAATGAAATTCTAACTGAGAGGTTCTTGGAGAACAGAACTGCACTAGCAACCACGCAAAATAACAGAGGACTAAGTCTGTGTCTCAGTTCTTCCTTTGTTCCCGCTAGCCCCACTACTGCTGGATAAAGTTGTCCCTAAATAAGATTTAAACGTGAACAGCATCTTGTTCATTAAGGGGCAGGTACTCAGCCTGCATCTTACCAATGTGGCCGATTTTCCATCTTGGAGAAGCTACGATGCTGCCACCAACCCAGAAAAACTCTTCAGCCAGACGGGCCACCGAGAACTTATTCTGAAGCAAGGGACTTTTTGAGGCATCCATATCTGAGACAAAGGGCGGCTTCAGAATTGAGTACAAGCACTGCAGGCCTTGGTAGAGATCAGTATTCTGTAGCACACATTTTCAATGTAATAGCATAAAAATATAAGGAAAAAACCAGGATGATCCTCGATTTCCAAAATCCAGTGGTATTTTTCTGGTTGTCACATAACAGTTTCACAGTAAATTTAGGTCTCCCCTGTCCAGGTTTAGAATATTAAAATCCCAACAAAATCCTTTGTATTCTATGTGACATACCTATGTGTCTGTTTCTGAGGACTGAGTGGGTTTCAGTTCAGCATTTTAAAGAAGACACACGATGGACAGAGACAGGGCCATGAGGCAAGATGGCATGTGGATGAATCCATTTCTGGACAGAAAGGCCTCCTGATGAGATTCCTTCTCCTAGCAGCCGCTAAGCATCCAAGACATTACACCAATTTACAGTTGTTGGCTTCTCCATGTCGCTTCCTCCTTCTGACAACAATTCCTACACAGAGGCACCCCCCTTCTAGATAGCTGATGACCAACAGATTTGCAAGTTCCACTCTTGCTGAGGGCTCTACTTGCTCTTCAAAACCAACCAACAATATCCACTGCCGTAAATAAGTGCCCAGTTCGTAACACGATCCATTCCCCTCTCTGCCCTCCTGAGCCACCCTTGCCTTTCACTGTGAATCTGTCCAGGTGCTTAAGCTCTTCAGCCTCTTTCCAGGTCTGGAAAAAAAAGAACAATCACATTTTCTTCTTCTTATACAGCTCTTCAAAACATCATCGTAGCAGTCTTCATCTTTTCTGCGGAGGTTCTCCTCAGTATTTTAATGGACACGCCTGACAAAAGAAAGACCGTTTCTCTCTTGACAGTAAAAACTAGGTACGATGCAAACACAGCAACACATGTTTGCTTGAAATCCTAAATCCCTCATACGCACTAATCCTAAAGCCGTGGTTCTGCCCTATCCAGTCAAGGGATTTAAGTGACATGCTACAGCTGTAGGAAAAAAAAAAAAAGGTTAAAATAAAGTTCTTCTTCGCCTCAGCTCGCAGCATCTTTCCATCTCACGACCACTGTGCTGGTTTTAGCCAGTCAAACCTTGACACCCATTAAGGAATGTCTTGGCAAACTGACACCACCCCGTAGCAGAAGCTGCCCAGGATGCGAGCCAGGCAGCCGCACCTTACAGCACAAAGGCTGTGCCCAGCAGCCAGGAACAGTTAGGGTGCCCGAAAACTGGCAGCGATAAAAGCAGGTAAGGATTAATGTTTAAAAAGCACTAAGTCACTACCTCATTCCATTTGAAATGCATCCGTTAAACTCCAAATACCAAAATCTGTCGTTTATGTTATCACAACCTCTTAATCTACAGCAAGTTTTAAGTACAATAGACAATTGCTCTTGCCATCTGTGGTGTGTACAAGGAGCCTAATATGCTTCTAGCTTGATGAACTAAACATAAATTGCCCATTTAAAAACACACTCATTAAGTGCTTCCTACTCCTTTCACAGTTGGAAAAAGCCTTGGCGTAGTTGATTCTCCAGACCATTCACTCTCCATTAGAAGTTGTTTATTTCACCACCGATGCCCAGAGTTCTTCTCTTAGGCTGGACTTGGGATTTAACCACAGATTAATTCCAGTGAAAAGCAGACTGGGTCTGCCCTAAGGGTCAGTGGTGGCAATGATGCTACAGACACTCTCGTCACATTCTGCTCTTTACTCCGATGCTGCAGCAAAAGCCTTCCATTCTCCTAAGGCATCTTCCTAGAGGAATTTAGTGAGATGAATGCAAAATAATTGTCACCAGAGGAGGAGCAAATTCTTTTGTAAAATGCAAAGAAGCGTATATCCATACACCAGAAAACTGCCACGCAGAAGGCAAGAACCCATGAAATACTGTCTTAAAGATCCTCCTACTTTTTTCAGGGGAAGCAAGATTTAGCATGGGCCAGAATGAGACCTGAGAAATGGAAGCTCCATTACCTGCTCTACCCGTGCTTCTTGGAATTTCCCAAATAAATCAGTACACAGGTCTGTGGGTAATTCCCATGCTATAGAAATCAGATCTTAAATGGGGAGAATGACATTGTTGTACTCACAAGGGAGGACATACAACTAAACTTTAAGGCTCTCAATTATAGGATGACAGACTTAAGGTAAACTTTGGCAATAAACCAGAAGTACTGTGGTTGTTTAGCTCCTTTTTTGCTCTTGCTGCATTCATCAGGATTTCTTGCAGCCTTCCAAGCTGCACATGCAACAAAATCTGAGCAGTTGGCACTCTGTGTGCTGGGCAGCAAGAGGTACTGCTGTTAAAATTCAAAAATTAATTCTGCGAGGGTACCCTAGATTCTGCATGAAGGATTTATGAGTTATCAGCCTGGGGACAAAGGGAAGGGAGAAGAAGAGCCAACCCAACTCCTATGGCAGCATTGCCCAAGATAGGAATTTCATGGTTTAGAATTAGAATTCTGCCCAAGCAGGACTTTGAATGTGGTTTTGGTTTCATTTGAGTACAGAGAAATGCCAGGGATTTATAGCACCAGAAAAGAAGAACTATTTTCATGTCCACGTTAAAGTTAGACCACCCATAGGTTAATTTGAATCCTTTTAATTGGCACTATCAACCCATCCTTCAGGCTCCTGAGAGGATGATCACATAGAGAAAAAAAGAATCTTTCCAACAGCCCCTCTATTTACTGATTGTGCAGACACTAGGTAACCATGTGGGAAAGCAACAGGAAATAACAAAGGGTTAAATGTGACAGAATCCCTCTCCCAACTCTTAAGCACACGGAGCTTAGTACTTAGGATGTAAGCCTATTGAAATGGGTTTCTATTCTTGCTTCACTTGACATCCTCAGAAAAATCTTGCTCACCTGACACAACATGCAGATTAAAGACTCTTTCCACAGCTCTTTAGAAACTTATTGTTCTCTGCATGTAGTGAAGGCTTTTCATGCCACAAACTGATTTGAAAACCAACAATGCTTGAGTCTGTAGGCTGGCCTGTGGCTTAGCTAAGAGTAGAGCTCAGAACACCTGATGAACATTGACAGAACGTCAGAAGTCTTGTAAGAGAAGATATTCACTTCAAGAATGGCAGAAAAGCCACTCCACCCTACACAGAAAGAGCATCTTGCAGCAGATGCAGGAGCACAGCATACGGATGGTGTGGAAGATGGAGAAGAGTGAGCGTAGTGGAGATCTGCCTGAGACAAAGGGGTTTGTCATGAATGCAATCAGGATGGGTAGATTCCCTTCCGACATGCTTGGTTGGATGCTTTCCCGTTGAGGGAGGGAAAAAATGCTAAAAATTATTGAATACAAAGGGAAACAGCTGAAGCCCTTAAAGTAGAAAAGACAAACCTGAAGATTTTAATGTGGGAAATTTCAATAGACAGGCCAGACTCCGATTTCCCTTCTGTCTTCTGTACATCAGGATTCCAGCAGAAGACAACACAGAGAAGCAACACATGAGGTCATCAGTCTCACAGCGTAGCAAGAAACTTTTGAGTGTGCCAGGTAACAGCAGGCAGAGACCATTTCTGTGCTTCAGCTGGCTCCAGGTGATGATGTGACAGAAAACACTTCAGGTGCACTTTATAAACTGCCTTTGAAAGGTCAATATATTGATCGTGAGAGACATTAAATATTACAGACCTGATACTGTGACTGACCTGTAAATCCACAAGGATTAGATTTGTAACTTCACAGCTGCACGCTCCATCTATCCTTGCATGAACACACTACAGACCCACTTTACCAGATTAACAAACTAACCTCATCACAACAGGTTGACTTAAAATACTTAGAAACACATGGGCAGCCATTAGTGACACACGCATGAACGTTAACCCAGGTATGGCTATTCCGCACTCCCCATCCAGGGAAATCTCTGCTCACGGCTGAAGAATACAAAGAAAATCATTGCCAACCCACAATACAAGTCATAAATAAAAGGAGGAAACAAGAGTTTTTAATGTCATCTGGCACGCTGCCATTTATCTGAACACTCACTCACTTTTATCCTCCCCATTGCACCTTCTGCTGCAAACAGCAGTCAAAACACCCAGGAAAAACTGCAGTACACCTGAGACACCACAGCCTAAGACCTTCCTGTGAGTTAGCAAGCCTGTTACTGTCTTCTGATGACTAAATGCCAAGATGTTTCTAAGGGAAGTAACAAAAGCAAGGAAATCGCATTGAAATGTACGTTCTGAAATGCAGTGTAGAAATACACCTAAATTACAGTGAAGGTTCAAAACCCAACAGACGTGAGCACAAACAGCAGGAACCCAAGTTCATCATGTTCGTGATGCTCATTCACTACTTCCAAATGTGATCAGTGTTTCTTCCCTTTCCCCCCAAAACGCTGCTTCCTAAAGGTCTGCAGCAGCATGATCTGGACGGAAAGACCAGTCAACTCATTCCTAGTTTCTCTTTTGCATTTGCTTTTGGGTTTCCATGCCGCACTCTGTTCTTTTACTGCTCTGTGTGTATGCAGCAGCCGCCTGGTTCTGGTACGACCCCTTCCCAAGAAGAGGGAGACGGGGAGTATGTGCTGATGGGCTGTAGACAACACCTGTTATACTTCTTATTTTTCCTGACAACTAAAAATTTCTGCATTAGTTATATTCAGAATTAAAGTATATTATACTAAAACAAACGCTTTCCGATGGTTTTGGCAACTTCCAAGGAAGACAAATATCCAGTCACATGGAGAGTTATAACCAAAGTTCTCGCACGCATTCAATCGCCCATTCACAGGCTCAGGAAGGCCAGAGCACCGGCTGGACCACAACACTATCCCAACCATATCTAGGCGGCCCTTCCCTTAATTCTAACATAACCCTACTCTAGTGACCTCTGGCACGGCCAGGGGCAGAGCTAGAGCTGCCTGCAGAGTGCTAGACCATCTGGACAGCAACTCTAAGCACAGTAATCCACACTCAAGATTA